CCTATCTCTACCAAAAAATACAGAAGTTAGCCAGGTGTGGTGGTGCACACCTGCAGTCTCAGCTACTTGGGAGGCTAAAGTGGGAGGATCGCTTGAAACCGGGAGGCAGAGGTTATAGTGAGCTGAGATCATGCCACCGTGCTCCAGCCTGGGTAAGAGAGTGAGACCCTGTCTCAAAACAAAACAAAATGAAAAATTTGCTCAATGCTAATTATGTGCCAGACACTGTTCTAAGGGTTTTACAGATAATAAACTAATTCAATACTCATACTGAATCTATAAAGTAGACATTTACCACCCTCCTTTTACAGATGATGCTCCCAAGGCACAAAGAGGTTTAATAAGTTGCCCAAGGTCACAGAGGTATTAAGTGGTGAAATCAGAATTTGAATTCCAGACACCTTTGAATTCCTCTAGAATTTGTGCTTTTAGTCATTATGCTATATTAAACTTAAGTGCTTTAGCTCTTTATTTATGTATTATAAAATTAGAATTGAGACATGAGCCAGTTGTCATGGGGATGCAAATTAATGCATTTATGGAACCTTTTAAAAATAAAGGTAGATTTTCTTATGGACAGAAAATCTGTTTGATTTGGCTAATTGGTTTGACAGTGAGGACAGACTTTGCCAACTGGATTATGTGGTAGACATTTTCCATAAACTGAACAAGTAAAATCTGTAGCTCTAAGGTTTGGATGAAAATATATTTAAAACATGTCTCTAACAAAGAGTATGACAAAAGATTTGATCTTGGAGCCGATTTTAAGTTGTAAAAAATAATTGTAGTTATTAACCTTTAAAATGTATGAGGGAGAACAGAACTTCTTAAATTTTTTTTTTTTTTTTGAGACTGAGCCTAGCTCTGTCACCCAGGCTGGAGTGCAGTGGTGTGATCTCAGCTCACTGCAACCTCCGCCTCCTGGGTTCAAGTGATTCTCCTGCCTCAGTTTCCTGAGTAGCTGGGATTACAGGTGCCCACCACCACGCCTGGCTAATTTTTTTGTATTTTTAGTAGAGACGGGGTTTCACTATGTTGGCCAGGCTGGTCTTGAACTCCTGACCTCATGATCTTCCGGCCTTGTCCTCCCAAAGTGCTGGGATTACAAGTGTGAACCACCACGCCTGGCCATTTTATTTTTATTTATTTATTTATTTTTGAGACAGTCTTGCTCTGTCATCCAGGCTAGAGGGCAGTGGCACAATCTCTACTCACTGCAACCTCTGCCTCCTAAGTTCAAGTGATTCTCTTGCCTCAGCCTCCTGAGTAGCTGGGATTACAGGCACCCTCCATAATACCTGGCTAATTTTTTGCGTTTTTCATAGAGACGGGGTTTTGCCATATTGGCAGGCTGGTCTTGAACTCCTGGCCTCAAGTGATCCACCAGCCTCAGTTTCCCAAAGTGCTGGGATTATATGCATTAGCCACCACACCTGATGTTCTTAAAAATTTTATGGGGATTTATGAACAAAAGATTGTGAAGACTTGTGGGCCCAGCTCAGTGGCTCACTCCTGTAATCCCAGCACTGTGGGAGGCCAAAGGGGGTGGATCATTTGAGGTAAGGATTTTGAGACCAACCCGGCCTACAAATGAAAACCCGTCTCTACTAATAATACAAAAATCAGCCAGGCATAGTGATGGGCACTTGTAATCTCAGCTACTCGGGAGGCTAAGGCAGGAGAATCGCTTGAACGCAGAAGGCGGAGTTTGCAGTGAGCCGAGATCGCACCACTGCACTCCAGCCTGGGCAACAGAGCAAGACTCCATCTCTTAAAAAAAAAAAAAAAAATGTGAAGACCTGTGGTGTATAACACCGATAAACATTGCTGGCCACGTGTTTGCTGGCGGGGATGAGGTTTCTGGTTAGGTGAGGGGAAGTGGTTTATCCATAGGTAAGCAGGGGCAGAATTAGAGCAAGGACCAGGATTTTCTGACTCCTACAATGTCAGAGCTCTTTCCATGATTCTTCCCTTTTCCTTCCTTCTCCATTCTTGTGATTTTTAATTCAGCAAACACTTGCTGAGAAATATTTTCTGCTTTTGTGGAGCTCATATTCTAGCAGAAGGAGACAGACAATAAATAAACTAACTATTTTTAGATAATGGTAAGTGCTGGGAGCATAGAAGTGGGGAAATGTAGTAGAGTCTATAGGGGTGCGGGAAGGCAAGGGCAGGGGAGACTTCCTAGGGACGTGCTACGGGTTATGAAGGACCAAGACCAACCTTGTGTGTGTGCGTTGTAGGGAATGGGGAGGGCTAGGTAGAAGAAACAGCAAGTACAAGGATCTTGAGGCAGGAGAGGGTTTGGTGTGTTCCAGGAACAGAAAGACGCCGCTGTGGCTGCAGCACTGAGTCGTCGGGAGAAAGAAGTAGAAAGGGAATTCCACAAAGAAGGTAGGAGCTGGGTCATACAGGATCTTATCATTTGACGTCAGGATCCTATATTTATCCCAAAGACAATGGGAAACCATTGAAGGATTTTTAAGCTGAGAGTTGATACACTCTGATTCACGGTTTTGTTTTGTTTCATGTCGGAGGGAGGCAGGAGTGGAAACAGAGTGAAGACTAATTTGGGAGGGCATTTCGGGTCAGATATCAGTCATCTACTCAATGGAAGAATACAAAGATGAACAATGTGAATGGAAAGAAAGGCAGAATGGTATGAGATGTCATTCTGTTTTCTGGTTCTGATGAGGCATGCTGGTAGCTATTACTGTGTAACAGATCACCCCAAAATTTAGTGACTCAAAACAAGAATGGGTGTGGTGGCTCACGCCTGTAATTCCAGCACTTTGGGAGGCCAAGGGGGGTGGATCGCCTGAGCTCAGGAGTTCAAGACCAGCTTGGGCAACAGGCATGGTGGTGCTCACCTGTAGTCCCAGCTACTCAGGAGGCTGAGGCACAAGAGTCCCTTGAACCAGGGAAGTGGAGCTTACAGTGAGCTGTGTTTCTGCTACTGCACTCCATCCTGGGAGACAGAGTCAGACCTCGTCTCAAAACAAACAAATAACAGAAAAACCAAGACTCATTTTATTTTGTCATAATTCTGTAAGTCAGGGGTTTGGGCAGGGTTCAGCTGAGCAGTTCTTCTCCATGTAGTCATAGCTAGGGTCATTCATAGCTGTATTCAACTGGTGGATGAGCTGGGCTGGTAGGTCAAGGAGGTTCCATTAATAGGTCTGGCACCTTGGTGCTTTTCTTTATTTTCACATGACTTTTTCTTTTTTTTAAATCAGGCAACTTCCTGAGCCGGAGCAGGCTCAGAGAGACTCCTACCTTCGTGCTCTTCTACATGGCCTCTCTCTCCATGTGGGCACCTTGGGCTTCCTCATAGTATGGTGGCCTCCAGATAGTCAACCTTCTTATATGGTGTTAGGCTTCAAAGCGGAAGCATTCCCAAAGGAGCAAAAGTGGAGACTGCATAGCTGTTAAGGCCTGGCACTGCAAAGTACCCAGCACAGCTTCTGCCACGTAATGTTGGTCAAAACCAGTCACAGGGCTGGCCCACACTTAAGGAGAGGAGAAACAAACCCAAACCGTATCTCTTGGTGAGAGGAATGGAAAATTATAGGCTCCATCTTTAGTCTACCATACTTGGCTTCTGGGAACTGAATAGCCCTAACCATGCTGATGGCGCTGACCCACTTTTAAATCTAAACCACAGTATACTATGTTGGAACAATTTGTAGGTCTTTATTGCCCACTGAATAGAGAGGGCCTGGAGAACAGGAGGTGGTTTTTCTTTCCATTTTTTTTTCCCCATGTGTTTTCAGAACGTAACACATACAAGGCATTCAGGGAATGCTACCATTGGATGCACACATCACATAAGTATTCACTGGTTGTCGAAACATGGTGTATATAAGAATCCCTGGGAGCTGTTAAAAATGCATGCAGATTTCTGAACAAGACCTGAGCCCAGGCCCACTGAAACCAAATCTCTAGGGCAGAAGTTTTCAGTCTTGGCTGCACATGAAAAGATACGAGTGCCAGGCCTTCACCCCAGAGACCCAGTTTCTGTCGATCTGGGGTGACTCAAACACATTTAAGTCTCCTCAGATGATTCTGATGTGAGGCCAGGGTGAAGAACCAGTGCCCTAGGATTAGAACCAGCCGTCTCTGCTAACCTCCCCAGATGATTCTGATGCAGGTGGTCCATGACAGGGTGACCAACACCCTTGGCTTGCTCCGATTTTAGCACTAAAAGTCACACATCCCGAGAAACTCCTAGTCCTGTGCAAGCCAGATGGTTGGTCATTATCAATGGACCGCTATTGAAAAAAAATTCTAGATGAGGCAGTGAAAGCCTTTTTTGAAAAATGCCCACAAATATCTATTGAAAGCCATGATTTTGTCTCCTTACTTAAGGGCCTGAGCCAACTGTCCTTGAATTAAGGGGTAAGTGCCTCAGGGTCACTGTTTTCCTTCAGCCTTGTGCTCTGGTGTGCTAGGTCTGTTAACTCATGTAAATAATGTGTCTGTCTTTGAGAATTCTTTCAGACTATATCCCTTAGTGCACACACCACAGCTTTGAAAGCCCAATCACAACCAACAAAGATGATGTGTTTAGGATAATACAAGATACAGGATGAAATTCCTATGTCTTCTACACCAGTGTGTATTATTATCACCATCACAAATATTTATAACAGGGTACACAAATATATGTAATATGTTACATAGCTGTGGGGCGGCCCAGACTCTGGTCTGAGATTCCTGGGTTTGTGCTCCAGCTTTGCTGTCACTAGGTATGTAATCATGGATGCCTCTTTTTTGCCCTAGTTGTTCACCTACAAAATGGGAATAATAAAGATGTCTTCTTCACGGAGCAGATGGGAGGATCCAGAAAATAATATAAGTGAAAGTGGTTCTGTAGAGTGAGAAGGCTGAGGTATTATGATGGTCTTTGAATGGGAGGGACTTGAAGAAATGATTCCGTGAGAGGCCCTGCACGTGACTGGGGTTCTCTCTGGTCCCCCTACCCTGAACCATAGCCCACCTGTGAAGTTTCGAGGAAGAAGCTTTTGACACGGAGTGGACCATGGAGAGAGCTCAGGAAGCAGAGTTTTCTACCTTAGTTGCCCTTACTGCGGAGGTCAAGTGTGCTTTGCTTCAGGAAAAAGCAAAGCTTTTGGAAATGGGCGTTTGTGAAGGCATTTTTTGTTTTTAAATCTTTTGCCTATTTACTCCAAGTGTATCCTCAGAAATGTAGCCAAAAGAAAACAACCACAACCACAAACCTGTAATATTGAAAAGCCAGTTCTTAATTTCTGTAGCTAAAAAAGCATGCTTTCAGACTGTAACCGCAGAGAGATTGCTGCAGGCCTCTGGCATAATGATGGTTTGCAGTGTGATGAAGGAGGCTGCTAAGCTCTGTGGCCCAGAGGCCCAATCCTGGCCTCTCCAATTACCCAGGCGCCTAGCAACACCACCAAAAGTCTCCATGCCAGGCCCAGCTGGGCAGCAATTGGCTACACCCAGCACAGCCCACTGCCCAGCCTCCTGAGCTTCCCAGCCACATCAAGGCTGGTCTCAGCCCAGGCAGGGGCCTGCCTGGTACCAACGAATGGGTGGGGCCAGCTGTTTAGAAGAAACAATTCAGATATTTAAAAGCTCCCTGTTTGAATGCAGCTAGGCAAGTGGCTCAAGCTCACAACTAAAAGTGTCTGCCATGGAAAAGGAGTTGTTGTAAGGGTGCTGGCCTTGCCAGGGCCCTTCTGGGTGAGGCGAAGAAGGGAAGGTGAGCCTGATTTAGTCTTCCGGCTTCTCAAAGAGGCAAATCCTTTTCCCGTCTTGGACGCTTGTGTCCACCTAGAGTCCTCGTGGTAGCAGTGGGGATGGTGGGAATTCCCAGCCCCATCTTCCCCCAGGGGTCATGACCTGCCATGTCCTCTACAGCTTCCGTTCGGGAATTCCCAGGGACTAGTCTGGGACTGTCTAGGCAGCTGGAGGAAAAAGAGGGAGATAAGAGTACAGGAAAGGATGGGATGACAATAACCAAAAAGAAGACTCACACTTCTTTTGTTTAATTTTTTTTTTTTTTAATTTTTATGTATTTAGTTTTTGGAGACAGGGTTTTGCTCTGTCACCCAGGCTAGAGTGCAAGTGGCACCATTGTAGCTCGCTGCAATCTTGAACTCCCTGTTTCAAGCGATCCTCCTGCCTCAGCCTCCCGAGTACCTGGAAGTGCAGCTGTGCACACCACTGCCCCTGGCAAACTTTAATTTTTAAATTTCTTTTTGTAGGGAAAGGCTTTCACTGTGTTGGCCAGGCTGGTCTTAAACTCCTGGCCTCAAGCAATCCTCCCGCCTCTGTCTCTCAAAGTGCTAGGATTACAGGCATGAGCCACCAGGCCTGGCCCATTCTTTCTTACTTAATTTTTTTTTTTTTTTTTTTTTTTATGTGGCCAGGGCGGTGGCTCATGCCTGTAATCCCAGCACGCTGGGAGACCGAGGTGGGCGGATCACCTGAGGTTGGGAGTTCGAGATCAGCCTGACCAACATGGAGAAACCCCGTCTCTGCTTAAATACAAAATTAGCCAGGTGTGGTGGCACATGCCTGTAATCCCAGCTACTCAGGAGGGTGAGGCAGGAGAATCTCTTGAACTTGGGAGGCAGAGGTTTCGGTGAGTCGATATTATGCCATCGCACTCCAGCTTGGGCAACAAGAGCAAAACTGTCTCAAAAAACAAAAACAAAAACAAAGACTGGGCGCTGTGGCTCATGCCTGTAATTCCAGCCTTTGGGAGGCCAAGGGGGGCGGATCATGAAGTCAGGAGATCGAGACCATCCTGGCTAACATGGTGAAACCCTGTCTCTACTAAAAATACAAAACAATTAGCCGGGCGTGGTGGCGGGCGTCTGTAGTCCCAGCTACTCGGGAGGCTGAGGCAGGAGAATGGCGTGAACCTGGGAGGCGGAGTTTGCAGTGAGCCGAGATCGCGCCACTGCACTCCAGCCTGGGTGACAGAGCGAGACTCTGTCTCAAAAAAAAGAAAAAAAACCAATTTTACATTTTAAAATCTTAAATTTATTGATTTATTTTTGTGACAGGATCTTGCTCTGTTGCCAAGGCTGGAGTAAATTTTTATTTTTAACTCTAATCTCATGACAAATAAAGAAGTACCTTTCTATAACACTTGCTGCGTAGAAATCACAGGGGCTGTGGAACATGCGGGGGCTTTGGAGTCAGGCGCCCGGACTCTTGTCCCAGCCTTCCCCTCATTAGCTGTGAGACCTTGAGCAAATTACTTTGGGAACCTGGGTTTCTTTATCCTTAAAATGGGAATGTTATTACCCTGCCTTACAAAGTGGTAAAAATTAATGAAAAGAATGCTCATAAAGTGTTTGGCCTGGAAGTTGGCACACAGTAAGTGTTTATTATTCTAGTAGCTCTTTATTATCTTATTTGATTTTTACCACAATTTTGTAAGATACTCAGGGCAGAGGTGAGCTCTGTTTTACAGCTGAGGAAACTGAGGCCCAGTGAAAAACTAAATGTGGATGCCAGGAGTAGAATTCAGGTCTTTAGACTGTCAAACACAAGGCAGGGTATTCTTCAAAGGCAGATGGCAAGCCCTTTTTTTGGTAGCCATTATGACATGGCGGCTTCACAGCGATGGTGCCCTGTGATGGTAGAATGATAATGGAAGGGGCCGTGCAGAGGAAAAGGTTGGTAGGAGTCTCTTTTCTTTCTTTCTTTTCTTTTTTTTTTTTTTTTTTGAGATGGAGTCTCGCTCTGTCACCCAGGCTGGAGTGCAGTGGCGCGATCTGGGCTCACCGCAAGCTCCGCCTCCCAGGTTCACGCCATTTTCCTGCCTCAGACTCCCGAGTAGCTGGGACTACAGGCGCCCGCCCTCCCACCACTCCCAGCTAATTTTTTGTATTTTTAGTAGAGACAGGGTTTCAACATGTTGGTGAGGCTGGTCTCGATCTCCTGACCTCATGATCCACCTGCCTTGGTCTCCCAAAGTGCTGGGATTACAGGCGTGAGCCACCACGCCTGGCCTGGTAGAAGGCTCTTTTTAACATAAAGTCACACAAAGACTTAGTCAATGTGTGGTTGGAATTCCTCCTTCCCCCTTTTGCCTCCTCTCTTTCTCTCCCTCTCTCTTTCTCTCCCTTTCTTCCAGAAGCATTCCTTTTTAAAAAACTGTTTTTTAAATAACTCTGCTGTTTTGTACGGAATGCTTCATGAATTTGTGTGTCATCCTTGTGCAGGGGCCATGCTCATCTTCTCTGTATCGGTCCAGTTTTTAGCACATGTGCTGCTGAAGCGAGCACCACAAGCATTCTTTTATTGATTGATTGATTGAGATAAGGTCTTGCTCTATCACTCAGGATGGAGTGTAGTGCCACGATCTTGGCTCACTGCAACCTCCACCTCCCGGGTTCAAGTGATTCTCCTGCCTCAGCCTCCCTAGTAGCCGGGACTACAGTCACGTATCACCACGCCTGGCCAATTTTTTTTTTTTTTTTTTTGTATTTTAGTAGAGATGGGGTTTCACCATGTTGGCCAGGCTGGTCTTGAACTCCTGACCTCAGGTGATCCACCCACCTTGGCCTCCCAAAGTGCTGGGATTATAGGCGTGAGCCCTGTACCCGGCCCTGGTTAATTTTTGCTAATTTTTTTGGCAAAGCCAGTCTGGGGAACTTCTGGTCTAGTTCACGGAGCAGCTGAGAGAGCTGTGGCTCAGAGCCAGGAAGGAACTTGCCCCTGGTCACACAGCCAGGAAATGGCAGTCTAGACCAGAAAACACATCTCCTGATTCTGTGCTCCTCTCACTGTGTCTCCCAAACACAGAACAAGAACTGATTTTATTTTATTTTTATTTTTTTATTTTTTTGAGACATAGTCTTGCTCTGTTGCCCAGGCTGGGGTGTAGCAGTATGATTTCAGCTCACTGCAACTTCTGCCTCCTAGGTTCAAATGATTCTCTTGCCTCAGCCTCCCCCAGTAGCTGGGATTAAAGGCATCCACCACCTCACCTGGCTAATTTTTGGGTACTTTTAGTAGAGATGGGGTTTTACATGTGCTAGGCTGTCTCGAATGCCTGACCTCAGGTGATCCACCCACCTCGGCCTCTCAAAGTGCTGGGATTACAGACAGGCGTGAGCCACCGTGCTCAGTCAAGAACTGAATTTAACTTGCAACAGGAACACTCCAGGTAGAGTTAAGAATTTCTTGGCTATTCGTGTGTATTAGTTAGGTTATTTTATTTTTTTAAATTTTCTATTTTTGAGACAGGGTCTCTTTCTGTTACCCAGGCTGCAGTGCAGTGGTATAATCACAGCTCACTGTAGCCTCAACCTCCCAGGTTCAAGCAATCCTCCTACCTCAACCTTCCACGTAGTTGGGGACCAGAGGTGCACGGTACTATGCCCAGCTAATGTTTTAATTTTTTTTTAGAGATGGGGTTTCACTATGTTGCCCAGGCTGATCTTGAATTCCTGGGCTCAAGTAATCCTCCCACCTTGGCCTCCCACAGTGCTAGGATTACAGGCATGAGCCACTGTGCCAGCCTAGTCAGCTTTTTTTTTTTTTTTTTTCTTGAGACGGAGTTTTGCTGTTGTTGCCCAGGCTGGAGTGCGATGGTGCAATCTCGGCTCACTACAACCTCCGCCTCCTGGGTTCAAGTGATTCTCCTGTCTTCGCCTCCCAAGTAGCTGGGATTACAGGCGCATGCCACCATGCCCGGCTAACTTTTGTATTTTTAGTAGAGACTAGGTTTCATCATATTGGTCAGGCTGGTCTCGAACTCCTGACCTCAGGTGATCTGCCCGCCTCGGCCTCTCAAAGTGCTGGGATTATAGTTGTGAGACACTGTGCCCAGCCCTAGTCAGGTTTTTTGATTGCAAAAGATGGGAACTGATTCTGTCTAATCAGGAAATGAATTTTATTCAAAGCACATTGAATAAGTTACAGAATCATTGGAAGGCTGTAGAAACAAGGCTTGGGAAATAAGCAAAAATACAGAGAGACCAGGTACCTAGAATTACAACAAATCCCATCACAGAGCCAGGTAGGTGAGGACAGCCTCAGTGCTGCTGCTGCTGAGTGCCCAGTGCTCCTGCCTTCATCACAGCCACAGCTGGCATTGGATGCTGGATGCCATGCTGACCCCAATGGCAAGGCTGTCTGGACACTGGATACTGCTGCCACTGCTGCAACCACTGTAAAGAATTTTTTCCATCCCTATCTCCAGCCTCAGAAATCCTAAGCAAATGCAGCTGGTTGATCAAGCGTAGGTGACTAGCTGCCTCGGGACATGTGAAAGTGAATATTGGGCATGGTTAATGTCTGTAATGGGAGCCATTTCCTGTTGCCCACCAGGAGAAGATAAATTCCCCAAGAAAACTGACAAATGACGACTACATACATGTTGTCAAAGAATCCACTGAAAGTCCTTGACATTTGCAGATTCAACACTTGCAATTTCGGTAATTTACTAGTTACTCCCAAAGGCCCATTATGAATGAATATGAGTTGAATGATTGGCTTTGCCTGTTAGTGAGCCAGGCCTACCGCTCTGCCTGGACATTTCACATGACTGTTATCCTTTATGTAGTTTGCATGCAGTGATTCAAATATTTGTTTCTTGTTTGCAGAGTAGAAAAGATTCATAAAATAAATCACCCATTGGTGCCAGTGATATAAACAAAGAGAAAGGAGGAGGTATAAGACAGTGACTTTGTTTTTTGGCTACAAATAGAAGTTTTGGATAAACTGGCATGGTGTGTC